CACTCAGGGCTACCAGGGAGAACTCTGCCCTTTCCCAGCCACGGGGTAAGGAAAGCTGAAGCTGGAACAACTCAATAACCTCTCTTTGCCTTGAGCAGAACAAGGAACCAACACTGGCTAAAACTGAGGATCTCTTTATTGATCAGCAAAGTAAAATGTGAAAACTTCAAAAACAAGCTCAAGGAAAAACTTAGAACAATGAATATTCAAATATTCTTGGTAGCAGAAACTGGTATAACCTCTCTTGAGGGCAATCTGACATCTGTATCAAAGCCCTCTGACAATTCTGTCTCTAGGAAAATGTCCCAAACACCTAATCAGAAACATATTCATCAGTCAGTATTACAAAGATAACTTATGAGAGATATTTATAACAGTAAAAACCCTGGGAACAATCTAAATGTCCAACACTGAAAAATAAGGAACTATTAAAACATAATGCAGTATTTGAGATGGGGAAATGCTTCCAACACAATGTAAGCAAGAGCATCATTTTTAAGATATTTGGCATTAATAAAGACAAATGTTAACCATAGGGATTCCTGGGTTGTTAAGGCTATCAGTGATTTGAGAGGTTTTTTTCATACCCTTCTGCATTTTCCAAAAATTCTTTTTCTTTTTAATTTTTTTTCTTTATTTATTTTAGAGAGAGAGGAAAGGAGAGGGAGCAAGAGAAACATAGATGAGAAAGAACAACAATTGGCCGCCTCCTGCAGGGTCCTCCCCACCCCCAGGGATTTGGCCCACAACCTGGGCATGTGCCCTGACCGGGAATCAAACCAGTGACCTCTTGGTGCATGGGATGATGCTCAACCACTGAGCTACACCAGCTGGGCTTTCTAAGATTTCTATATTGATCGTTGTTGTCCTTATTATAAGAAAAAATATTCAAAAATAAGATCTAAAGTACAATTTTATGCCGATGTAGACATTAGACTCGTGATCATTAATGCATTCAAGTCCAAGGGGCTATACTACTATCAGCTGTTACCTGCTATCAGCTGTTACCTGATTAGCTCCCTGAACTTTCTATCCCCATTCCAGGGTGGATGGCAGGACCCTGCCCCTAAGAATCATGTCCATGAAGAATGAGATCTGGGATGAAAGGGTGGAAAGAGGAATGTTCTGAATCTCTTAAAGGAGCTAGAAATTTTATTTGGACTTATTGCCTTGCTTCCCTTTTCAAACCGACAGGGCACACACCAGTTCCAGTGACGTTCATTCTCCAGGACAGAGTCATAGAAACAAGACAGCCTGAATTTGCATGGCCTTCTGCATGGAGACGCAACCAGTTTAATATCAGACAACTCAAAAGATGGAGAGGAGGACTCATGATGGTTAATGCAGAGAGAAGACTGAAATGTAATGGGAAGAAAAAATATATAGTGACTTAAAAGTTCAGAGCTTATAAATCCATAACTACCCTTCCCTCTAGCACAAATAGGTGGCCATAGAAAGAATCAGCAGAACCATCACTTTCATACTTGAGATTAATAATAATGATGGTAAGACAATAGAAAAGGATGTTCCTAATGTCAGTGGTTAACTGAAGCCTGGTACCTCCCCCTTTTAACTAACATCTTGACAAGAAGTAATACAAATGTGGCTACACAAAAAGAAATTCACGCGTTAGTATATGCACGGAGTATCTCTGGACGGCTATAACAAAAGTGAATGATGCAGAGGAGAACTGGGAGGCTAAAGGACATAAGGGCAAAGGAGGCTTTCTTTCCATGTGAAGCTGTGCCATGCACATATATTAACTATTCTAAAATGAGTAAACAGAACTCCTTGCCTAAAAACAAATTGTGGCCTAAAATACAAACGGACTGCAGCTGATTTTACAGTCTATAGGAGTACCAAATTCATAGTGGGGGCATTGGTCTGTTTAAGGCAGTACCCTAACAGAAGGCAGAAAATCCACAGAGATGTTCTAAAAGAGGGAGGGAGGCAATTTTTCTGTACATAACAAAATGAGAAGAATTTTGAGTTTCTGAGGACAGCTCTGGGAAGAGGGTAAGTGACATGGAAAGGAGAGAAAGGGGCTGGGAGAGAGAGGCCCCTGGTCACATGCAGGAAGCCTGACCTTAATGAGAGGCATGGGCCAGGGATTTCAAGGAGCAATGCCATCCCCAAGTTGTCTACTGCCGTGTGCTACAATTACCACCTCTCCCCTCCCCAGTACACCTCCAGCTGTCAATAAAAGTCTGTAAAACATAGTAATATTGTGTTGGGCTTTGGAGAAATGAAGGGAGTGTCCTGAGTGGGGCCAGACAAGCTGCCAAGCGGGAGAACAGCAGAAACAGAACAGAGACATGGCTGGAGCAGGGAGCGGTGGTGAATCTGGGTGCAGGGCAAACTGACCAAGACATATGCTCCCCAAGTCCTGTGGAAACAGTAAAGGGGAGTAGGGAGAAAGGTTTTACAGAATGTGGGATGGAAATTCACAATATTTCGTGTGGCTATGATGATCCATGCAGACAGGTGGGCTTGGCTCCTTTGTTAGCTACCCACTTACTTAGAACATAAGTTGATGATCTTCTTTCTCTTTCCTTCTCCACATTCTCTTCCTCCTCCACTTTTTTAAAAGAAGAATTAGCTAAGCATCTAAAACATCTTTCATTTCAATCCAGCTAAAGGCAAAGATAGACACCAGTGCCTAAAATGTTCACATCTTCCTCTGACACCCAAAAGAAATAGTGCCACCTCCCTTAGCCACCCCCGCCCCACCTCACCATTAGGTAAATAAGCCGGTCAAAGATGATCCAATCTCTTCTTTTTTTAAAATATTTTTTATTGATATTTTTGGAGAGAGAGATGGAAACATAGATGTGAGAGAGAAACATCTATCGGTTGCCTCCTACACGCCCCCTACTAGGGATCAAGCTCACAACCCGGGCATGTGTCCTGACCAGGAATCCAACAGAATGTCTCAGTCTATAGGACGACACTCAATCCACTGAGCCACACCGGCCAGGCTAAGATTGTCCAATCTCAATCATACCCACTCAGGTCAGGATTGCTTTTCTCCATTCCGGTCTGTAACTCGCTGCAGTGTAACCAAGTCCTAATGTGAACCCTTCCTGAACCTTCGACCTCGCTCTTCCTTTGCTTATTTCTGCCCCAGCCCAGCCCGAACCTAGTGTGCAGTTCACATACTGACCACAACACCGACACAAATGGGCTCCTGACCAGATATGATAAGCTCCTCGAACTCAACACTATGGAAATGTCTCTCCTCTAAAAATAAAAATTATAACTCCTCTCCCTCTAAATCCATTTTACTGGTCATCCTCTTACTAAATTCTCCTCCCTCCAGGACCCATCATTTCCTCTGAAAAATCCTTTTAGATCCAGCCCCTCAGAGCCAAGAGCTCCTCCTCACCACCAATCCCTTCAGCACCCACATACACACCCCACCCCTCCCAGGGTTCCACCTTCTCTGCCAAAGGAGGACAGGGCCCCTGCGTGCGACAAAGACGTCTGTTTTCTCAGACCTGACAGCCCAGTCCCATGACATGTGTCCGCTGACACACTCCTTCGTGGGGCCCAGCCTCCTGAAACCCACATCCGGGTTCTCAGCAGTAAAGCAGCCACAGCCTGAGCCCCTAGAGGCCAGTCACACAGCAAGAACTCCTTCAGACACCCCAGCAAAAGAACCCATTTCCCGAGTCCATGCTAGGGAGCTGTTTTACGAGCACACGTGGAAAGGCATGGTCCAGTCCAGGCTATGTACCAGAGTATTCCTTGGGCATTGGGACCAAAAACCATTGTCAATTTCTTAGGAGTCAGATTTGTTTGCCCTCCTCTCATCACTATGCATTACTTTGAACTTTTCGGGTTCCACATCTCCCCAGAAGCATACAGACTCTTTGGGAGTCAAGGCAAGAACACACACAGTACCCACTCTTTACATAACCCTCTAGACACCCCTTCCCTGGAGAGGAGGCTCTCAGCATGGCCATGTGCTCCTGCTGACCATCCAAAGCAGCTCTGCTGGCTCAGCTTCAACTTCAAAGTCCCCTCTACCCACTGGCGCCTCAATGCCCTGAGCTTTGTCCATCTTCTCGCAAATTCTTAATTCCTGAGTGTCCTGGCTCAGAAGTCGAGAGAGAAAGACTGCAAGGTGTGGAAGGAGGAAAGTGCCTGAGCCCTGGGGTGGAATTCGGGCTCCGTCGATCCTTCCACCCCAAGACAGTGGTTCCATTCAGAGGACAGCACAGTTCTCAAGAGAGCACTCAGAGGAAAAGCCCAGCTTGGACCAGCTCCCTAGGAAAAACCACCACCCTGACCCCTGCTCATTGATCCCACTGAAACCTGCTTTCTAAGCATCTACTTCCTGCCCCCAAACCAGTTGCAATTGAAAACCCTTTAGGAAGAAATTAAATAACTCTATTCTCCATTGGAATGATATAGAAGATCACGCTTACCTTTTGCCAAGACTGGAACAGTGGTTCAAGTTTTCCCTCCCACCCACTCCATGCCAATTGTGTTTGAATTACTTTGAAATACCATCTGGGAGAAATCATCATCCCAAATATTTAAGGTTCCAATACATGAAAAAGCAAAAAAAAAATATATATATATATATATAAACACATACACACACACACCATCCTGTGATTTGGCAAATCTTTGGGAAATGGGATTGTCCAGAAGAGCATTCCTGAACACACCCAAAACAGTCTTTCTGACTCCATATCATTCCTCCAACAGTATTCTAATTTGTCTGCATGAATATCAGTGAGAAAGGAAAATAACAGAGTGCAACTCTCCTAGGAACTCACGTGAGATGGATGATGCTCATGCTCACCGCTTCTTCAATGGCACAATGAGGCCGAAAGAATCATTCAAAGTAGAGTCAAACCTACGGGGTGTGAGTCCATGGGTCTTAGATCCCTGCACCCTATGCAGAGCTAGGATGGGTGACTTACCTGCAAGCTGTTACCAAGGGGCCTGGGTCTCCCAGACATGGTCTGTGTCTTGTGAAAGTTACATACCTCAGAAGGTTAAAGCTCAGATCAAGCCTCTTTGCGAAATGTCCACAGTCCCTGCCGAGGTGCTCCGGAATTTTTCTGCAGTCCTGGCCAATGTAGGACACCTGAAAATTAAACGGAACAGAAACAACATGGCAAACGGAAAACACCCAGCTGCTCACCGCCGAGTCATTAATCCAATGATGGCTTCCACAACTTTAAAGGCGAGCTCCTCATACCCACAAAAATGCCCTATTTGTGGCTGTTTTTCTGATCAGATCAGCTTAGCTTTGGGGGCTCCAAGGACTCTGTCAACAGCTCCCCCGTTCCTAGTATACTTAGCATGATGAAGGCTAATCCCGGCACAATGGAAATTGAACTAAAATTGGCCAGATTCAGATGTCCAGAAAAAATACCCAATGCCAGAACACGGCGATATAATCGTAGCTATCAGCCTCTTGTTCAGGGGCCTTTCCACCAGCTGCCCCCTCCTCCCAAATACCCCGTTAGGCACATTACCTCATACGGACACAGCAGATGCATTTACCAGCATTCAACCTGCAGGATGCTGAGCAAATAAGGTTGGACAAGAAAACCTTCCCAGACCTCCAATCCCATCTTATTACCACTGTGTATTAAATGTCTGCCTTACTCTGAACAAAGATGATTCAAAGGCAACAGGGCAATGACTAATGGTCAGGGCTTCCAAGTCCCCCTCCTCCAAGGAGACTTTCGCAATCAACACCATCTCCTTGCAGAGCTGCCCCCCTAGGCATTATTTTACTTATTATTATTAATCTACTGTTGTGCCCAATATTAAGAGGCCTAACTAAAATTTGATCCTAAAACTTCTGACTGTGACAAGGTCAGAGGGCTTTCTCACTACTCCAACCATCCAGTTCTTAAAATCCGTTTTTACAGACAGCACCCCATGGGCAGGTTTGACAACTCATTCCAAAACCCATGAAACAAGCCTGTGGGTCAGAGCGGGCCAGTGAGTCATGATACATGATACTGCCCTAAAGGACTCTACCCTGAACTGCCAGGTAGAAATTCTGGCCCATCACACAGCTACAGCCTTGATCCTTCCCCCCACTCCACTCCCAAATCCACATTCTTCTACACATACAGACAAGGGTGTCTTGGAGTGAGTAAGAGATTCCTCAGGGAGTTATGATTCCTAATGAAAAACAAGAATATGGTAGCCATCTCAGATATTAGGTTTAAGCATATGAATTACTAATATTCAATCATTGTAGAACTACAAAAACAGCACTTTCATAAGGCTCAGCCTAACACAAATCACACTTCACCCTAGCACCCTCAATGTTTCAAGTCATCTCACAACCCCACCCCCCCTTCAGTAACTTCACTCCTGGAGGAGAGAAAGTGGAGAGAAGGACAGAAAAATAGCTGACTCCAATAAAATAATTTTGAATCAGGAAGATACAGGCTAAAAGGGCTCAAAGTTCAATCTAGTAAGCTCTCCCCTTTCTACATGGGACTCATCTCTCTTCAGAACTCCTTGTATAATAAATTAACTACTGCTTCCAAGCCAAGATGGAAATCATGCACCAAGGAGAGACTAGGCATATAAAGCTCAATCAATCTAGGGACTTCAATTTCCCTCCGGATGTCCACTCAGTCAGCAGCCTCTTCTGTATTATAAGTTCACAGTGATCCCCCAGGCCCGTGGTGCTCACCACCAAACCCATCCCATTCACGCTGGCATGCACCACTGTCTTGTACATACTATCATCATTCGAGACCTCTGAGATACACCGCAGAGCAGCTGAGCTCTAGATGTAGAAACTGAGCTCTTTCCTCAGACTCACCAAGGACTAAATCTAGTAGGGACCTGGTCTGTCAAAACCCCTCATGTTTTATACAGGGAAACTAAGACTCCAGAGGCCTGTCCAGTGTTATACAGCTTCTTAGTGATAGGGCCCAGACCACATCCTGCACCAGGAATAAAGACTTCCAACTTGGGGACCATAGAGTACTTACAAACCCATATGTGGATTTTCTTGATCAACAAATTGCCAATGGTACATTGTATCATATGCCAATGGTATCATATGTTTTGGCTTGAAATTGAGCCTTCCTAACTAAAAGGTCAAGAACTACCTCATGATAGCATGTTGAAGACCCCAGACAAGGGTCAGCCACTAGGAAAAGAGGTGGCTATTGGCTCCCCTTTTTCTGCAGTAGGATTCCCCTTCAAAGAAAACAGCAACACTATGGAGAGTTATCATCAGGAAGCATTCAAATCATTCACAATGTGTCTGAGAAGACTTTCATCAGCTTGTTTTATTACATGGTCTTAATAGCACAACATCCCCAAAAAACCAAAGAAGCACAACTTGTTCCCATTCTACAAGAGACAAAGATCAAGTCTCCAAAGTTTAATAGGAAAATCTATTTGCATGTTAGGACCACCCTTGTGGTAAACTGGAAGCTTTTAAAGATGCTGAGTTCAACCAACCAACCAACCATGTTGAAGGGTTCAGATCAGCTGAACAGGCTTAACAGCAGCAGCCATTGCCAGACATGCAACCAATACTTATAAGAAGAGAACTGTTTAAAAAGTGATCCTCACCCTGGCTGGTTTTGCTCAGTGGTTAGAGCGTCAGCCCGCGGACCAGACAGTCCGGGTTCAGTTCCCACTAAGGGCAAGTACCTTGGTTGCAGTTTGTCCCTGACCCCGGTTGTGGTCACATGGGTGGCAGCCACTCAGTGTGTCTCTCTCACATCGATGTTTCTCTGCCCCTCCCCCCCACTCCTGCTCTAACTGAAGATAAATGCAAAAATGTCCTCGAGTAAGGATAAAAAAACAAAAAAAGTGATCCTTAGCAGAAGACACTACCTCTCAGGATGTCATGAAGCTTCTCGGAGCACATGCTCACCTAATGTAAGATACGGGGCCAAGAAGAACCAGATCGAAAATTGTTAGTTTCTTCAGCAAACAAGAGAAGAGATGTAGAGATTAATCTTAAATGGCATAGAAGAGCACATCTAAAATGATAAGTCATCGCATTAATTGTCTTGATTTAGACTAAACTGAGGAACCAACTTTTGTACTTTTAATTTGCCTACCTTATATAATCTGTACTCCAAGACTTCCACCCTGTGTGAGATGATAGCATAAAGAGACACCATTATCAGAGAAATTAAAACATACCAAGTTAAAGACCCCTAGAAAGAGAAATAGCAGAACAACAAGATTGTCTTAGCAGGATCCCCACACATATACACACCCAACCCCTCTAAGGGATTTCAGAAAATTACCAAACTGTAGTTGGGATGTTCTGGCTCCCAGGACATTTCTGGAAATGGTGAGTTTGTCTATAGTCACACAGAGAAGATTTTATAAACCTGTTCCCAGCCAGAGGTGAGGTATACTTGATTTTAAATTTGTAGTAACGGTCCATTCATGTTGTTACAAATGGTAAGATTTCATTCTTTTTATGGAAGTAATATTCCATTTTATATTATGTACCACAGGTTTTTTTATACATTAGTCTATTGATGGGTACTTGGGTTGCTCCATATGGTGGCCATTGTAAATAACACTGCAATGAATATAGTGGTGCATGTATCTTTTCGATGTTTTGAGTTTTTTCAGATACATACCCAGAGGTGAAATTGGTGGGTCATAGGCAGTTCCATTTTTAATTTTTTGAGGAACCGCCATACCATTTTCCATAGCTGCTGTGCCAGTTTACATTCCCACCAACATTTGATGAAACTAGAGGGTATTATGGTAAATGAAAAAAGTCAGAAAAAGACAAATACCATATGATTCCACTTATATGTGGATTATAAAGAACAAAATAAATGAACAAACAAAACAGAAACAGACATAGATACAGAGAACAAACTGATGGTTGACAGAAGGGGCGGTTTGGGGAAATGGGTGGAAAAGATGAAGAGATTTAGGAGTACAAATTGATAGTTACAGAATAGTCATGAAGATGTCAAGCTCAGCATAGGGAATGTAGTCAACAATATTATAATAACTATGTTATGGTACCAGGTGGGCACTTGAATTATCAGGTGATCTTTGTAAATTATATAATTGTCCAACCACTACGCTGTACATATTGTCAACTGTAATTGAAAATAAAATTTTAAAAATTAATAAAAATAAATAAATTTGCATTACTGGAAGTTCTGTCCGAGTAGAAATAGCCCTGGTCACGAGTCTGAGTCCCTCTGCTGCTACTAACTAGTTGTATTATCTTGGATAGGTCACAGAAGAGCCTGTTTTCTCTTCTGTAAACTAGTCAAACACTAACTGCCTCCAGAGGTGTCAAAAATAATATAATAACTAAAATTTATTAACTGCCTACCACCTTGCTGTTATCTATTCAATCCTCCTGAAACAGTCCCATTGAGTCACATATTATCCTCATTTTACTTATATTACAGAAATGAAATAACATCTTTAAAACAGCACTGTCCTCAGCACCTAGTGGCCACTTGACAGTTATCCCTACAGGACCAATATCCCTACAGAAGAGATTTGTTATTCTGATGTCTGTTGGGCACAAAATTTCAATGCCCAAATTCCACGTTTGCATGTGTTTGCCACTGTACTAATGCCACTACTTTGTCATAAACTAGTGGGGAAAAAACGTTGGGAACTTTATGCTAAATTTGATGATGCATTCAAGAGAATGAAGGCAGACCCATGTTAAGTAGAAGATTTTACAGAGAAAGTGGAGGGAGAACTGCATCTCCAAGTGTTGGTGTTGAGGCCTATGGAACTCTAAAAACCAGGGCAACAGCTGTCAGTCCACAGTGGAATTGAAAGCAATGACTTAGTTTCAGCAGAACAGTATCATCCATCTCATTAAGTTATTTTAATTTTATTGGTGGTATGGTTTTTTGTTTGTTTGTTTGTTTTTCAGATAGAGCAGGAGGGAAAGAGGAAGAAAGAGACAGAAACATCTATGTGAGAAAGACAGATCGACTGTTGCCACCCACACCACTTAGGGTTGGGAACAAACTGCAACCGAGGTACGTACCCTTAGCAAGAACCAAACCCAGGTCTCTCTGGTCCACGGGCCAATGCTCTAACCGCTGAGCCAAACTGGCCAGGGCGGTGTTATGGTTTTTGTATACTTAAACCATGCTTTATTTGGAGTTTATAGGACTCAGAATATGAGCTTAGAAAAGTTTTTCTGGCTTTATATGTGTATATTTAAGCAATGTTGTGATAAAAACAATATTAACACTGTGGATTCATGGTAAGTCCCTGCCCCCTGTACCTGAAGAATCTACCAAAGTTTGAGAAGTACCATGTGACACATTTAAGGTGCTGTACTATACTGGCTGTCATTAGAAACAGCAAGGAGAACAATGCTAAAAAGACCCTAACCTTGGGGCTGCCACTCAGGGTTAGGGTCTTTAAGATAGTTTAGGACCTGGGGCACTAAAGCCCCAGGGGCATTTCCCAGCTCCTGCCCCAGCAGGTCCTTCTGTTTAAAACACTCCCCACTGGCTCAAAAATGCCTCAGTGGTTGCCCTTGGGCTGTTTGGGTAGGGCCAAAAGCAGGCAGGGTAAAGAAAATCAAGTTTGGGAAATGGGGGAAGAGAAAAGAAGGCACAGGAAAGTCAGCCCCATTGTCAAGTCCTCCATGAAGCTGGAAGAAGCTACCAGAGAATGCTGGATCTGAAATGCGGAGGCCCTCTCCTCCAGCCTCTCCTTCCAGGCCTCATGTTGACTCCCAGAAGCCCCTTTTCCCTTTTCCAGCTAAATAAAACCCTTTTTTTAAAAAATCCTCACCCAAGGATATGTTTCTGTTTTTATAAGTTTGTTTGTTTGTTTGTTTGTTTGTTTGTTTGTTTGTTTGTTTTTATCCTCACCCAAGGACATTTCTCCATTTTTTGTTCAGAGCAGGAAGAGAGAGAGAGAAACATCGATGTGAAAGGAACACATCAAGTGGCCGCCACCCGCATGAACCAACCAGGGCCGGGGACAAACTGCAACCAAGGTACGCGCCCCCAGTGGGAACCGAACCCAGGTCTCTCTGGACCGCAGGTGAACGCTCTAACCGCTGAGCCAAACTGGCCAGGGCCAAGGATATGTTTTAATTGATTTTTAGAGAGGGGAATGGAGAGAGAGAAAAACATCAATGTTGAGAGAGAAACAGCACATGCCCTGACAGGGAGGTGAGCCCGAAACTCCAACCAACTGAACGACTAGACCAGAGACAGTAAGACCATCATTATTAACCTCTCCACCAGGCTGGTAGCTCCCTGGCCTGCTCACTTCTGAGCTCTAAGAGGAAAGCATTCCCTTTTGCCCAAAGTAATCTCAAAATCTAATTGTCCCTGACACTACCTGCCTTAGGCAATGCAAGGGGAGAGTTTCAAAACCTTAGAACGATTTCTCTAGGGTGTGCAGGGAAGGGTGGGAAGTAGGGGAGGGCTGGCTTAATCAGAGGTTAAAAGGAGAGACTTGACTTTTCCAGCAAGTAAAAGTCACCTGGTCCCAGAGTCGTTTAGCCCCATCCCTCCAGCAATGACTAAAAACACCTGAGGCTTCACTACAGGGCTGAAAGCAAGAGAAGCTGCTGTCTATCACCCAGGGTTAAAACTGGAGTGTCGATATTTCCCATAGATAGTAGTCAAGAAATTAAGTGCCAAAATAAGAAAATGAGAGGGGTCCTAGATAAGGGGCCCTGTGGTTAGGAGCCAGAGCCAGTCTGCAGTGGACCCTCAACCTAGTGCCTGCCCGGATACATCCTGATTTCACTGTCTTTGGTGGGCCTGAGGCACTTTTGCCTTCCTGGACTTCTTCCTCCATTATTTAAAAAACAAAAACAAAAAAACAAAACTAAAACGTATACAGGCACACCTAGGAAATATGACAGATTGGGTTCCGGACCATCACAATAAAGCACGTATCACAATAAAGCCAGTCACAATTTGTTTGCGAATGGAGAGTCTAGCCTTACGCTGATAGAAAACAACATCTGCGAAGCTCAGTAAATGCCCCCAAAATGGTAAGCCTGTATTTTACCACTGCATTGGTATAAAGACGAATATAGTAAAGTTTTTCTTTGAACAGAGTTCTTTTTTCTTCTGATTATTAAAGAAATTAAAACTTTTTTGGTGGGCTGTGGTCACTGACCACAATACCTAATGGAGAAGTCCATCCAGCTGGCCCTGGTCAGTGAGCGCTAGGGGCGCAGGGAGGTGGAGGGGATCTGGGAAACCTGGGGTGGTCTTCCCCCTCACCCCCCACTCCACAGCTAAGGGGTATACCAAGCTCAAATAGGGTCTCTTCTCACCAACCTAGGGCAGACCTGGGCACGGGACAGACTTCCCACCTGCTGACCAGAGGTGGAGCCAGGGGGCCCTGTTTAACCTCCAGGAGCCCCTCCCCAGACCAACTGTGCCCAAGCGTGGGCGGGGCTGGCCTGACAGACTTACTTGCGTTCCACTGACCACGAGCCCGGCCATGGCGACGGGATGGGGCGAACACACGACCCCCAGTGCAGCGCTGAGAAGCACAGAACGTGGTAGCTGCGGGCAGCGCGGGCCGACTTCAGTTCCGCACTGGGCGGTCAGCTGACCCTGCGGAAGCCGGAGGCGCCGGCCCGCTTCGGGGCCTCGGCTCAGCTGGGCCCAGCGCTCGCGCAGGTGCGCAGGAGCGCAGGTGCGCCTCGGCAACCGCACCCTGAGCGCCGCGACAGGTGCCCCGCGGTGCCCCGCGCCCCGTCGGGATGGCGTGATCGCGCAACTTCCCCGTGACACCCGGGCTTCCCAGGACCCTATCGCCCCACGAGGAGGTCAGGGGAATAGGAATAGCGTCCTTAAAACTCCACGTGTTGGTAGGGTCAGACTGGGGGACTCCCTATCAGGGTGCCCCATGTGGGCCGTTAGTTGGGGGTGGGGGTAGAGAGCCAGGTCTTTCTAATATTTCACAATCCGGGTTACGTAACCGTCTTCAACTGCTGGGAGGAGGGGCCTCCTGGCTGGAACTCCCCTCCCCAACTTTTGAGAGGAAGGAGGCAGTGGAGAGGTTGAAAGGACACCTGGTGGGTGGGTTTCATTTGTGAGGGAGGAGGGGTGACTGAATTTCTTTATAAATAAAGTGCTGGCTCAGCTAATAGCACCCCTGTTGACAGTAATAAGCCCTGGGAAGAGAGCTGAATGATCTGCCCAAATTTCAGGCTTCTCTTTCTCATCCTCTTCACAGAGTAAAGGTCTTTGTGAGGCTCCAAGTTATCCATGGGATCGGACCACACACAATTTTCACTCATCTGGAAGTGGGGGCTAGCCATTACTGCCTCCTGTCTGGATGAAATCAGACCTAGCAGGCAGGTAACTGGAAGCTCATGCCTACCCTCAACTGTAAGAATCCAAATGTTCTCACGCCTTTGTTTGCCTTCACACCTCCACCTCAGGATACACAAAACTACCAGATACCAATCCGTTGTCATATTATCACCTGTCCCCTATTTCAGCCAACAGCCAGCCCAGCCTTAACCCTGCTCTCTTCGTACTAGTGGGTATTGGCCGCACTCAAACCAAGAAAGGAAAACTGAGTCCTGACTTGCCAGACTCCAGGTCTCCCATGCATTGCAGGCCTATTTGTAATTGTAGCTCCCCACCTCTGTCCAGGGGGTGTTCACAGGGCTTTTCATTGTCCTGTGTGTCTGAACAGCACTTAGAAACTCCTGGTTTGTATAGCCAAGGATGATCATTATGATCGTGGTTAAGCATTCTGTGGTTCTCGACTTTGTCTCTCTGGCCTGGTGCCAACACATTGTAATGTGACCCCTTATTGTCAGCATTCTGATGAGTGGTGTTGACCTCTAAGGGCTGACCCGCCTGCCCCTCTGTCTGCTGGGAGGAGCAGACACAGCAGAGCTGTAAGAACATAGACCTGGCTGTGTTTACTTGGGGGGGGGGGGGGTCCAGGAAATGCTACAACAAAAGGTCCTGCAGGCCAAAAAAGAAAGCTTGCCCTCCAGAGATAAGGGGGATCAAAGAGAATCTTTCCAGGCCTACTGCCCCACCAGCACCTCATGCTCCTCCCTCCTTCTCTGCTGGAGTGCCCTCTCTGCTCCATTGTCCATTTTGTCTGCTTTTCCTGCCTGAAAAGGAGGAAGTGGGCCCAGTCTCTGCTGATCATGATACTCTGCCCTCCCCAGACACCTTTCACTTTGACCTTCCTAGATGGGCTTTGACCAGCAGCAGAGACAAAGCTACTCAAAGATGAAATTGGAAACACTCTCCCCTCCCCGCCCCCCAGGAAGAGGATGTTCAAGGTCATTGCATCCATGCTTCTTCCTCCATACAGGGCTGTCTCTTCAGAATATAGACTGTTCTACAGATTCTATCAATAACACCAAAGTGGGCAGAGATCTTTTCCACCTTTCCAAACTCCCTCGCTACTTGTTCTCTCCTCTACATAGCCACAGGGTGATCATTCTAAAAGCCTAAACCTTTCAGTGGCTCCTGAATAACTAGTAACACAGTCCAAAATCTTTAGTATGTCCCTCAAGATCCCTCACGATATTTTATCATTCCATCAATCCTTATCTCTCTTGCCTCTTCTCCTACCTTTCCAGTTCTCTGCTTGGCTTTTAGTTGTTAGTTTGCCTAGAATGACCCTGGACCACTCTTGTCTCCTCTGTGTGAATACACCAGGAAGACCAGTTGACTGTAGGGGAGAGATAATTGGGGAAATAAAAAAATAAATAAAGTCCAGGATAGCTCAGATTGAGGCAGGCTTTCATGTTTGAAATGTAAGCAGATGACAATAGGGAGCTATTGAAAGTTCTTGAGCAGAGTAGAAGTTTGCTGAATGTAGTAGGGGAGGACTCCTCTAGAAACAGACTGGCTCAACCTCTCCTTACTCCCCTTCAGCTTTTGGAAGTAAGTCTTCAGAACATAAGAACAGGAAAATAAGGGGGTGAGGAATAGAAAAAGAATCTAATATCTCTAGACCAAGGAAGACCAAAAAGGAAAATTAAATAAAAATAGCAAAAGGTAAACTTCTTCATGTAACATGGACCTCCCTTTGGAGCAGAGAAAGCAAAGGCATGCTGAGAGGGGGCTGGCCCAGGGGCTAGACCAATAATTTCTTTAGAACACAAGGAGCTTTCAAGAGTGAACAGAGAGACAAGTCTTGTTAGAGCTTCTCCCTGAGCACACCCCTTTCTGCCCCTGCCCCGGGAGCACTGAGGGCAAGGAAAGGCTACTCTAATCACCTGGGGTGTTCCTCAGTCCCTTCACCCATCCCAAAGGAAAGTGAGCTGCAGGCACCCCCTGCTTCACCTCTATTTCATTCCAAAGCCCCTGTGCCCCAGCTTCCAAGGGCCAGGCACTGTGCTAGGCACTGTTGGTATGCATGACTAGGACATACCCTTCGGGAGAGATTTGCGCTCCGACATTTTTTACAATACTAAGTTGACAAGAAGCACTGTAATTGTGATCCTATTTTCTGAACCCAAAATTGAGAACATGTAGTCTAATTTGAACACTGCACTTACGATGACCACAGAACAGAAAGTTCAAATCAGATCTGAACCGGAAATCCTGGGTCTGTGAATTCTGGAACTCTTAACACATGCATATGGAGAGTGAGAAGGTTCAACACATATGACTGGACATTTCCTTATCACCCTTGATGAAGAAGGCAATATTTTATTCCTACTGTCATCTTTGTTATTATTATTATTCTTTGGCAAAAGAGGCCCTTTCCCCTAGTGTCCTTCCTCCATCACATTCCTAGGGACAAAAAGGAAGATCCTGTTTACTTCCAATCAAGGGAGTTGATTCTGGGGTTGACCAGAACCAGCAAAACAGGAACTGGTTCCTTAAATCTTCCAGCTCTATGCATCAGCCTCTGAGAGAAGGACCGAGCCAGTTAACAAAGTTTTGTTAGCATTCCTGCCTATCCTTAGCCGAATTTCTATTCAGCCTGGCCTCATGTCTTTCGGGCCTAGCTCCTGGGCAGATTTAGATGGTTGTGTAATTAATCATGCCCCAGCCCCTAGTTCAGACTCATCACATTCAGATTTCAAATTTTTTTAAAAGGCTGGATGTCTGCATACAAAATGCTCTTTGTTGCTAAGACAGCCTCCTTTCAGCCTAAAGGAGGGAGTTTAGGACAAGTAGGAAAAAGAAAAGATTTCCAGGCCCTCTCTGCAGAAATTGCACATATGTGAGGGGATTGAGGTTGATCCATACTCCCAACCAGAACAAATTAAATTTTAAAAAATAAATATTAAATGCAATCATAATGTCTGGCATGAGTAGCCATTGCACAGGTGTTAGATTATTGTTATTTAATATTATAATAATTATTACTACTATTATTAATTCTCAGTACCTCTGATTTCCCTTTTTTTTTTTTTTTTTTGATCTTTAATGATTCTGTTATCTCTCCATTAAAATACAAACATTAGCAAAGAGTGGGGAAGGGAGTGGGTTTGGGAGGGTGAATGGGAAAGGGGCTTCTGCTTTTCACTCCACTTCTGTGATTTCTGCAACATGCATACTTTGAAATTAGAAACAAGAAGGGAGGAGATTGGGATGGAAGGGGCAAGAAAAAATAATTTACAATTTCAACTGCTATCTGCCAATCTCTTAGCATCATTTTTACAAATCCCCCAAACAGCACTGAGAAACAGTTTGCCTGGAACTTTCCCAATACTCCGGTCCTTACCTGAGCTCAGGAAGAAGTCATCTCTGACTTGGGGACAGGAGCTCATGTTGGATTTTTGAGAAGCAAAGGAAATACTGACCAGAAGAACCTGCTCAACTGTATATTGCCCAGTGGAGATGAGGGGAGCAATGTCTAAGCCCCAACTACCTTCCAAAATCCCAACTTGACATGGAGAAGTTCTGCCACTTAGAGACTGAGGAACCTCCCCCCATACACCTCAATTAAAATATATAGACATGAGCCCCAGCCAGTTTGGCTCAGAGGTTAGAGCGTCGGCCTGTGGTCCAGAGAGTCCTGGGTTTGGTTCCCGCTAAGGGTTTGGTTGCAGTTTGTCCCGGCCCTGGTTGGGTCATGCGGGTGGCAGCCACTCACATCGATGTCTCTCTCTCTCTCTCTCTCTCTCTCTCTCTCTCTCTCTCTCCCTCCCTCTCTCTCCCTCCCACTCTATCTGAACAAAAAATGGAAAAAATGTCCTCGGGTGAGGATAAAATATATGAGATAGATAGATAGATAGATAGATAGATAGATAGATAGGATTCTGAGTCAGTAGGTGGTACCCTAACATCTGTGTTTTTCTCAAGTGCCCCCACATGCTTTAGAAATCATCTACTCCAACTACTGATTGTGCAAAAGGAGACCTAGAGAGTCACCAGCACATGAGCAGCTGACCCAAGGCCAGAACCCTGATCTGAAAAAAAAAAAAAAAAAAAAAAAAAAAAACCAGAACTCCTCCTATGTCCCCGATAAGAACAGGGTGAGAGACTTGGGAGGAACACCAGGAAGATTCCATTTCACATCTAATCTCCGCTTGTCACGTTTTAACCATTTTCCTCATATGAAGCCCC